ACTGGATGGAGAAAGCAAGCCAACAAATTGCTATAAAGGTTGAAGACCTGATCAGCCCAGGGGAACGTTCCTCATCACCCAACCTCGAGAAAAAGACTGAAGAATTAAAGCAAACATTTGAGCAAGGAGAAAAATACGCTAATGCTGGTGAGAGTTTGGTTGTAGATGATCACTCAATCAAAGGAGTTCCACTAGTCGTTGATGAATGCAGTGGCAGGGATAATGTACAAGATCGAATTCTGGAATGGTTGAAGGGAGACGAGGTTATAAGAATTGCAGTTTCGGGAATGGGTGGTGTGGGCAAGACAACAATTATGAAGCAAGTCCACAACCAACTGTTGAAAGAACCCAAATTTAACAAAGTTATTTGGGTAAAAGTGTCAAGAGACTTTGACATTTTTGTCAAGCAAAAAAAGGAGTTTGATGTTCGCAGGTTTCAAAAGAGGATTGCAAGTAGCTTAGAACCAGCATTGGAGCTAAAGGATCCTGAGAATGTAACCAAGAATGCAGGAATGATTTCACAAAAGTTGAGGCAGGGCAGCTTTGTGCTAATTTTGGATGATATGTGGCAGCCTTTCTCTCTAGAAGATGTTGGAATTCCTAATCTAGTTGGAAATAATGGTTGCAAGTTAGTACTCACGACACGGTTACAAGATGTTGCTCGTGCAATGGAGTGTAAGGTGATACCTGTGAATCCTCTTCCACCTGAAGAAGCATTAGCATTGTTCTTGAAGAAAGTTGGAAGTGAAGTGTTGTCAGATGGCAGAATTAAAGTAGATATAAAGCCATTTTTGGAGCAAATTTTGCAGAAATGTGGTGGAGTACCTCTTGCTATAGTGACAGTGGCAAAATCAATGAGAGGGAAATTACTTCCTCGTAATTGGAAGTCAGCACTTTCTGAATTTAGTCAATTTAAAAGCATTGTTGATTGCTTGAAATTCAGTTATGAATGCCTAGAACCACAATGCCAGGAGTGTTTCCTATACTGTGCATTGTATCCTGAAGATGCTGAAATCAGAAAGGAGGAGTTAATTGAGTATTGGATTGAGGAGGGGCTAATATATAAAGAAGGGAAAACCAGGGAGGCAATGAATTTGAAGGGTCATGATATACTTGATAAGCTTGTTGACAACTGCTTGTTGGAGTTGGTTGGATACGACGAAGATTGTGTGAGTATGCATGATCTTCTCCGAGAAATGGCACTGGAAATCAGTCAATTTTTTGTGAAAGCTGGCATTGCCTTGGAAAAGCTACCAGAAGAGGATGAATGGAGTGAAGATCTTTTGAAGGTTTCTTTAATGGAGAATCACATAACAGAAATTCCTTCAAGCATGCCGCCTCCAAAGTGTCCTATGCTCACAACCTTGCTCCTATCCAATAACAGGATTATTACAATTCCAGAAGCTTTTTTTGAGCATATGCTTGGGCTCAAGATTCTTGATCTTTCCAATAATCATGAGCTAATTAGGCTGCCGACTTCTGTTTCCAAATTGGAGAAGCTTACTACATTATTGCTACACAATTGTGAGTCCTTAAGAAAGGTACCATCTTTATCCAACCTTGTAGGCTTAAAAAAGTTGGACCTTTCCTGGACATCAATTGAAGAACTACCCCAAGGCCTCAACATGTTAATAAATCTAAAATATCTTGGTCTTGGTGGAAGATTGCCTGAAACACTTGATGAATTGCTGCAAAATCTCTCCAAACTTCAGCATTTAATGGTAAATACTGAAACAAAATTTAAATGGGAGAAGATTGGAAGTTGGGGGAAGCTGCAAAACCTTGAGAAGCTGGTTCTTCATAATTTGGATACCTTGGATGCGGTGTTTGGGGAAGTAGGAGCAGTTGCTGAGTCAGCATCGCTACCAGCTGGCACATTTTCCTCTCTTCAATATATTAGTGTTTTTGATTGCAATAAAATAAAGAAGTTATTCTCAGTTAGGTGGTTGGGGTATCTCCAGAAACTACAGACTATTGAGGTTAAAGCTTGTAAGCAACTGGAGGAGATAATAGGGTCTAAATCTGAAGAAGGAGAACAAGTCACTCTACCCAAGTTAGAAAGCTTGACATTGTCCTATTTGCCCCAATTGAAGAGCATCTACAGCGGTTCTAGTACTGTTTTGATTTGTGATTCCATCAAGAAGATTATGCTTTTGGGTTGCGACAATATAGAGAGTGTTTTTTGGTCAGGGTTCAACCCACTTCCAAATCTTGAATACCTACACCTTGACTATTTAAAGAATCTAAAATGCGTGTTTGATGAAGAAGATATTGGTTTATCGCCACTTGTACCTCCCACAAGCTTTTTCTCTCTTAAAGAAATTAGGGCTGTTATGTGTCATCACTTAAAGAAGGTATTCTCATCTGGATGGCTGCTCCGCTACTTCCAATCTCTAGAGACTATTGAGGTTTATATGTGTTGGCAAACGGAGGAGCTGATATCGTCATCGGCACATGAAGAAGAAAAAGTCACTCTACCCAAGTTACAAGGCTTGCATTTGACAAGTTTGCCCTTATTGAAGACCATCTATAGCGGTTCTTTGATTTGTGATTCCATCAAGAAGATTGAAATTTTTAGGTGTAAAAATATAGAGAGTGTTTTTTGGTCAGGGTTCAACCCACTTCCAAGTCTGGAATGTCTATACCTTACCGATTTAAATAATCTGAAATCGGTGTTTGATGAAGAAGGTCTTGGTTTATCGCCACTTGTACCTCCCACAAGCTTTTTCTCTCTTAAAGAAATTGGGGTTGTTAAGTGTCATCAATTAAAGAAGGTATTCTCATCTGGATGGTTGTTCTGCTACTTCCAATCTCTACAGACTATTAAGGTTCAATGGTGTTCGCAAATGGAGGAGCTGATATCGTCATCGGCACATGAAGAAGAAAAAGTCACTCTACCCCAGTTACAAAGCTTGGAATTGACAAGATTACCCTTATTGAAGAGCATCTGTAGCAGCTCTAGTGTGTTGATTTGTGATTCCATCCAGAGTCTGTGGATTTCCGACTGTGAGAAGCTAAAGAGGATTCCTCTGAATTTTCCCTTGCTTGATAATGCCCAATCATCTCATCCTTCTTCCCTCAAAGAAATTGTGGTATGGCCAAAAGAATGGTGGGAATCATTGGAATGGGACCATCCCAATGCAAAAGACATCCTTTTACCCTTCTGTGAATTTGAGTAGTGATAGGGCGCACCACAAATGTAAGCCTTTTAATCTTCAATTTTCCATTTTTGATTCAACTCAGTAAGAGTTTTCCATTCTTAATAAATCTCTCTCTCTCATCTATTCTTTTCTCCCCCATTGGCAGCAATTGGGATTCGTCTCTGCAACCACAAGAAAGTTGGAGGAAATCACATATGCACTAGTTGCTGTTGCTATTGGGTTTTCAATTTAATATAATCTTTGTTTTTCTTTTGCTGTGTGTGTTGTGTGTTTAAATATGTCCAATTCTAAGTGGAAAACTAGAAATGCTTGTTTCTTTATTATCTATGTAATTTTGTCTTTGAAACTGTGTGTGAAAAAGACTTGAAACTGTATTTGCTTTTCTTGTGTAATATGTATTTCAGTTGATTGCATTTGCATATCTCTTCTCAAATTTCATTCAACAACATTATCGTCATCAACAACAACCGAGACTTACTTTCATCAACTATATTTGCATGCTCTGTTACTTTATCTACTCAGAATCGCCAAGAAGGACTAGCACTTGGGTCAGAGTGCACTGCTCTTCTTTTCTTTTACCTTTTTTAATTAATTATTTTGTTTTGTTTTCTGATTGCATGGTCCGAATGTCTTATTAGCTAAAGTAAATTATTGGATAAACACTGTTATTTCAAAAGATAATTACATAATGCCCATCCTTGGATGTTAGTGGGTTAACATTCATATGTGGGCAGGCCGATGTTGGTGCTATGCTACGAAAGCATGCTGGTGATGAGAAGCTACTGGATCACTACTTATCACAAAGCATATATTGTTCCAGTACATAATATTTGACACCCAGTCCCATGTTGCAAACTTCACTCTTAAGAGCAAAGCGGATTTTCCTTTGACACATCAAACCGTCAATTGTTATGATGGAAAAGAGGGGTTCTTATGAGCATGTTTCTTTTTAATCAAGCATATTGGCAGAGGAACTATATATATTTGTGACATGGTAAGACTTGTTTACTTTGAAATAATCACTATTCATTATTTGAAGGTGTTGTTATCAGCAAGAGCTCAAATTTTTCAGTGAAGAGCTCCAAAATCAGGTATCAAGTTAACTATAATACTACTTTGAAGGAGGGGGCTTAAATGACCATAGAAAGGTATGAAATTTATATGTTTGGGCCTCAATTTTGTCATTTGAAACAAGCTGTGATTGCTCTACCTCAGTTCAACCGTCTTTATTGGTAATTTATTTTTTTCAATAATTTATTTTTCTTGACTGTCTATTAGATTAGATAATTCCATAGCTTAAGTAAAGTTGCATAAAATAGTTTCAGTACAAAAGGAGAGCACTAATGTCTAGATAATGATGATTTGTTTCTAGAATGCTTGCCTGATAGAGTTTAAGTGTTGTTGAAAAATTTTGTTGTTTAGTCTTCTTTTAACTAATTTTTGTCTGGTACATCTCTAAAGCAAGCCAAAGTTCATCTTCTCTACACTGTGCCAATGGTCAGAATTGTTGTCCAAATTATATATCAATTTTCACTCTTAAGAGCAGAGCGAACACGTCAAATGATCAATTGTTATGTGGAAAAAAAGGGTTCTTATGAGCATATTTCTTTTTAATCAAGCATGTTTGTCAAGG